CAGGTTTTGTTGCATGGTGGAATCGTAAGGAAGCTCGTGGCACCATTTTCCTTGCGGTGTCTACCTTACATGAAGGCATACGTGATTACTACGGACATACTACCAATGCCGTCGAATCGTTCAATAACCCATTGTACCACCTAAGCAAGAGGCGGCAAAGCATTATGGATAACTTTCGCTGCGTGCTAAAGTATGTACGTCGATACGATTGAAAAGCAATCGATCATTTCTTATGAGGCGTCCCATCCTACTACGGCCTAAACAATGTCACGCGGAAGAGAAAAGTATCGACGAAAAAACGTGTTCGCAGTAAGCGAAAGACGGTTGACAAGTACAAAAACGACGGTCGTGCTCCCGACACCGCTCAGGTGTTGAAAAAGGCAAACTGGAAGAACCGGAAGTATACTGTTGAAGTCAGCGATTGTGATACCGGAGGAGACGATAGCAGCAGCAGTGAACAAGACGGTGATAAATGGCCTATTTATGACAAAATTGTGCCACGTGATATACAAGATAGCGACTGGGAGAAAAACGATGACGAACATGATGCTTGGTGTGTCGATAGTCAGGCTCTAGAAATCAAGTTCACGTTGAATCCGATTGTGAAGGGCAAAAAACGAACTCTGGTCAAGAAAATGACGACAGCGACATCATCATTGAAGATGACTCCGGCAGCAGCGAAGTCCCATTTTACACCAGAAACGGCAGCGTAAACCGAGCAGATGATTTGCTATCATTGTCATCGGATGAAGAAATGGACGATGGATCGCTTCTGCCGTCTCAGTATTACGATGGCTATTTGCTCAACCTTCGCTGCAACAGTAATGGTTCATATTATATTGATGCTCCAATGGAAATGATGCTTCAATCTATCATGCCAAATCTTTCCATAGCCGGCAGAATCTCTTTCAATCAGAATAATGATTATGACGAAGCGTTACGCCGAGCTTATTTACTGTATCAGGCCAATGACAAGAAGAAACGTATGATGAGTATGCGCGACTTACGAGATTTCGTATGGATGAACACAGAGTATGGTGCATACTGTCTTAAACCATGAATAAATTCGATCACCGACATGAAAAAAAAGGAATCCTATCAGGGCTGTCTGAAATGAAGTTATCGATATTCTGCGACGTAGAACATGTTTATAAAGGTACTCTTAACACATTGTACGTTTTTGTTTTTTGAGAAAAGCATTTCTCATCGCTCTGATAGCCTTTGAAGTTTTGTCAGGATATGAAAAGTTACTAAGTAGGTGGAGGATTTCGACAGTTGTTTGGGCAAGGAGAAGAATTTTTTTTGGCAGTGTGTAACCATAGATGTTCCAAGGTTACACACAAATAGCTGGCTTATCCAGTAATATGAGTGCGTTACTGCTCTTCTTACTCACCCATTTTCCCAATAACACACCTGTGGTGAACCACATTAATACACTGCTTAAGATATCAACAATAAGATATTCAGTTAAACATTATATCATACAAGAAAACCTCTCACTCAGACGATTTACCTTACGTGAGTAGGACAATGAACCTATCAACAGGTACCTCAGCCATTACAGCAGCCAGCTAATGCTGGTTTCAAAGATGTGCCCGATTAACATAGCGACTTCAAGAGAAGTTCTGATACATCCTTGATCCATCCTCTATCACATAGTTTATCCACTAAATGGATAAACTAATATCGCCGTCTTAATAGCTAGAATATAAAAAAGCTTTGAATAAAACATCATCTCAAAGATACTTGATTATGTTCCTTATTATTCAAGCTCTATCATTACAACGCCTAACAATGGCTCCTATTTCCAGCAAACAAAAACGCGCCTTAGAACAGCTTCAAAGCTCAAAAAACGGACGATTTCAAAAAGTTGCAAGACTAGAAGAATCGCCAATTGTTGAGAACCAGACTTCATCTGATGTGACTGAACAAGAATCAAACGTCTTTGAGATTCTCACTGCGTTCGAAGAAGCAACAGAAACCACAACGACAACGACGACAGCTACCACAACAAGCCAAAAGTTTCCTATTATTTGGGACAATAAAGCAGATGCGAAGTCCCGTGGCAAATATTGGGGACATGGCAGAACCACCAAATACTAGCAGCTAGAGAAAGCATCAGAAAAGAAGAAAGGGAATTATGAAATCACTTCCTTCTTTCATAGGGATGATGAAGTAGAGGTTGTGTTGGAGGACTTTGTGCCAGTGCTGACTGTCGAAGAAGCATTTTTGAAACTTACCCCAATTATCCAACCTGAAATGAACTCAAAAAAGGACAAGGAGCGAAACATGAGCGACTATGAGCTACGATTGAAAGGTATTGCGGTGCAGGGAAACGAAGTGCGAAAAAGGAGTGTGATTACTCGTTTACAGCTCTTGAAAAAAGGCTCGAGGATTGCTTGGATCAGGTATCTCCACCTGATGAACCACCTGCAGAAATTCGCCGTTACTACAACCGTTGCTGGCGCTATATTCATGCATATAATGAAATGAAAACTGGAAGCGAAGCTCTTAAGCTAGTTGAAAAGTTTACGACACGCAGATATCGCTCTCATAGAAGAAGCGGAACAGAAGATTAAATCTACACGTTACTATCAATATACAAAGAAATGTCTACTATTGGATTGGCTGACAATGCCTACACATGTAGCGGCTATTCTATTATCCAGCGGCACTTTAAAAAATCTCAATTTTCGACAATTCATGGTTTAAGATAGTATGCACCTGCGCTCCGCAACCCGAGTGGAACGCGATCCTTGCCGGCCAAGGTATCGCACCATGCCACGATCGCTCTTGCCCAACACCTCTTGTCTACCTCGGTTACCCCCTGGCATCGTCAAAACCGCAGCTCAAGTTCTTCCTTGACCAGATGCTGGTGAACATACAACAACACTGCCAGGTGCATCAGCAGCGCGGTCTATCCGTTCGCGGTCGAGCCCTAGTCCTGAACACCTTGATATTATCAAAGCTTTGGCACGTTCTCCGCATAGTTGGCGCCAATGATCATGCTTTCCATGCGAAACTCCGTAGCATTTGTGGCAAGTTCTTAATGCATCGGATGTTCCCGACTGTGGCGTATTCCAAATTATGTTTACCACGATCAGAAGGTGGTATCGGCTTACTCGATCCAATGACTCAACAGAATGCCCTCCAGCTGCGGTGGATTCAACCCATGCTGGAGGAATCGGGTATGTATCCTCAGCATATTCTACTTTTAATCCATCAAATACTCGCCACCGCCAAATTTCCATCAGATCACCGGTTGCTGTTGGCGGACCCACAGGCAAGGAAAATAGGCGCCATCGATTCTTCTTCTCCCGTATCCTTGGTTTACCGCGCTGTGGACAAGTTGGACATGGACTGGGAGGCACTTCGGATCACCAAAGCAACGGCACTACAATTACCTCTGAAAAGTGTTATTGCCACTATCCCCTCAGTGCCCCAACCACGTCGACCTGGATACAACAAACTGCAAGTCCGAGATTTGTTTTATTACGACGCCACACACCAACATTTACTACTACGACAAAGAAATGATCCAGCAACAAGGCCGATCTTGCTTACACGATTTACGCATGACCTTGCTGCCTTTCGCTTCATACTGAAACCATTTTTCGCTCGTTTATGCCTCCCACCACACCATACTGGTGGTGGCCATCCCACAACACCTGGTGATACCGACTTCACACCATTCAGCCGTCAGCTACTCAATCAGCCTGGAATCACCGACAACAACACCAAACACTATCGTACTGCCATCATCGCCCGACTCCACCCGACGCCACCCTACTCTACAGTAAACTGGCATCTCTTTTGGAAAACGCCTATGGATCATACCACCAGAAACATTTTTTACCGGATTTTCCATGGCACACTGCCCACCGCAAGTCTACTTTACCAACGCACTACCAATTTTTTGCCGAATCGCACCTGCTCTATTTGTCGCCAAGATGAAGACACCCGTGACCATTTTTTGGTGCAATGCCCCCTCAAACGGGCGGTCTGGATAAATGTTTGGCAACACTTCATGTATAGCGATCCGAATCTCGAGTCTACCTTGATCTTTATTACAACATGCAAGAAACCGTATCATCATTTCACTGCCAAGCAATTACTATGCTTTCTCTCATACATTATACTACATATTTGGCGCGCCCATTGGAACCATATCTTTAACAATATCCCTTTTTCTTCTTCACATGTATCCGCAGATGCCATACATGCGATACAAACTTATATGGACCTTTAAAAAAAAAAAAACCAACACCAAACCCCTTTCTTATATATACCTACTTCTGTATCTGTATCTTTTCGCTCATCAGTGTTTTGCGGCCGCAGGCACATTACTTCTTTTGAACATGTGACTTGTATTTTAATAAAATCTCAGAGGCTATCCACCTCTCATACAAAAAAAAAAAAAGGGTATTACTAGGGACACTCCAAAAAAATGACTCGACACTCCATTTTTCCTCAAATAAACCAAATAGTTACACAAAAATAAACAGATGCTCTATAAATATACTAACAAAGGACTATTAAAGGAAGAGGAGTATTTGGAGTGTTGCAGTCGCCACGATGGCGTTGTAGGCGTTTGGAGTGTTTGGAGTGTTTTTTGGAGTGTTTAGAGTGTCTGGAGTGTTTAAAGTGTTGCAATCGCCATGATGGCGTTGCAGGCGTTTGGGGTGTTTGGAGTGTTGCAATTGCCATGATTGCGTCGTAGGCGTTGAGCTTATGAAATTTTTTACTACTACGATGACTGATAAAGCTACGAGATGTCTATTATATAAGTTGACAAGTTTATAAAAGAAAAAGGATAAATCCCCTTTTCTTCCTCTCTCCCTTTTCTATCAAAATGAACGCTACAACAAGAACAGATACCATGGTCGATCTTATTGGCACCAAATATGATTCGAAAAATCAGCTCCGAGCAAAGGTTCAAGAGATGGCCCTAAAGAATCAGTTTGCAACATCCACCAAGCGCAGCAACAGTCGAAATATCTACATCCACTGTATCCATGGGGGTGTCTACAGGAACTGTCATGACATCGACGATGATGAACGTGAAAGACTGGTATCGACACAGAAGACCGGTTGTGCTTGAGAGCTCTTTGGTTCACATACATACAGAAAATCAAAAAATGGGTGATTAAACGTGTCAGCAGCGCCGACAGCCACAATCATTTATTTGACAGTAACGCAGCAGCATCTTACCATCAACATCGAAACCCAACAGCTGATATTGCCAGTCGCATCTTGTCAATGACAGAGACTTCTATCAAACCAGCCAAGATTTGTCAAGAGTTACAAAACAACGACGAAGGCACAATCGTGACGATCAAGGATATTTACAATTACCGCCAAAAAATATTCAAGGACGACAAATCTGGTGCATTCAGCAAACTATTCAGCTTCTTGGTCAGCAATCAATATATCGTAAGATATCGCATAGATAGGAAAACGGAAACATTGGAAGCATTGTTCGTTACGCATCAAGTTGGCTTGGAAAAAGCAGGCGATTTAAAGAAGTCATCAGTCTCGATGCGACGTATGGAACGAACAACAGCAAGATGCCGCTAATTAACGTTGTTGGGATCAGTAACCTTGGTACGACGTCGCTACACAATATATTAATTGCATCAGCAGTCGTCGTCAATGAAAAAACCGACTCCTATCTGTGGGTTATGAGGACCATGCGTGATACTATTTGGCCCGAAGGTGATGTCGGTATCTTCATTACTGATAACGAGAAGGCGCTCATCACTGCCATCGATACTATCTTTCCGAAATCGATTCATCTTTTATGCGGTTGGCACATGGCGATATTGCTTGATTTACAAGTACAAAGACGAAGAGAAATTCGAAGAAGCAATCAAGGAATATCGCCAACTAGCGGAGGATGCAGCAGCAGCAATGATCGAACAGGCAGAAAAACAAGATATCAAAAAGGTTGAAGCAAAAGAAAAGAAGCTGAACGATAAAGAAGAAATCGATGAAGAACAAGAAAAGAAGCCTACAAAAAAAGAGGAACTGCGAAACAAAAAAAGGGAAGACAAGGAAATGAAAAAAAGAAACAAAATCGCAGTTGCCCGTAAGACAAAAATCATCAATTATCTCGAAAGGTATGTATATCTTACTTTGTAACGGTTTGCTTGAAATTATGTAGATTAAGTATGTGATAAGGGTGATTTAGTTAACTCACTGTACCCTCGCGTTATTTTACGTCTAGTGTGCTCACCTACAAGGATAAATGGGCTGCACCGCAGGCTGGAAAGCAGTTCAACCTTAATGTGCGAACCACATCACGAACAGAAGGGACTCATTGGATCATCAAAGATACTATGCAAACGACGGGCAGCCTCTATCGCACGTTTGAAGCTATTAACGAAGTCATGAAGAAGACAGTAAGCATTCTATATTCTCACTCATCTCCGGTGTTTGCTATTATTTATATGTAGCGATATGTAAATAAGCTAACTATAATGCTAGTTTGAAACAGAAAAGATGGACTACATACACGAGCTTCGCAACACTCCACTTTTCACAAAGCGTGAGAGTGCAGCTTTAAGGAACCTTTTCGGCCATGTCAGTTTCTTTGCTTTGATCCGAATTCGAAAGGAGCTTGACCGTGCGGGGAAAAACGTAGGCAATCAAGTCAATTGCGACACGTTGGATTGTATTTGCACGAGTAGAATCAATTTTGGTTTACCATGCCAGCATATGATCAACCTAAAAGGTCCTGCTGTTGATTTGAATGAGATTCCTAAACGTTGGCTTCTACAGTATGATTCAGGTATGTACTATTATACAGCTTCATCTACTAACAATAGCATGTTGTCGATACCCTCTCATATGAATGTGCTTCCTGTGTATTATATAGCTCTATTTGAAATTAAAGACCCAGCGGTATTAGTTGACCACCAGATGGAGAAGCTCGTTACAAACTTAAAGAACAAAATCATTTCCCTGGAAACCGAACAAGGGAAAGTTAATCTCTTATCCCGTTTTGAGGAGATCCTTGAGGAAGACGTTGAGACTGTTGATCTCGCTGAAGTCACGTTTCCTGAGCCAGTTGCTACGAAAGGAAGGCCCAAGAATACGAAGGACAAAAGGATCCCATCTTCTTTTGAGACCGAAAAGAAAGAAGAGCTGCTTAATGCTGTTGGTAACGATAAGCCTAAAAAGGCCCTTCACACCAGCGAAGTACAACACGACGACTATGTCCTTTCAACATCGAAAAGGGATCAAGAAACTGTGTATTTGGAACGTGCTCGTAAAAGGTCAGTCTTTTTGTATTCAGAACAATACTTCGTCATATGTACTATTCCCATTTTATATTAATAAATGTATATATGATTGTACATATAGGATTCGTACCGAACCTAAACCAGAGTCTTTCTCCTTTTTAGTTCACCCAGATATTCCGAGGGATTGCATTCATGGGACAGTTAATATTGCTTCTGACGGCTGGTGTAGCTTCCGCACCATCGCGCATTGCGTTAAAGGAGACCAAGAACAATTCATGACGGTCAAAAGGGAAATGCTAGAGTGCCTGCACAAAAACAAGGACATATATTCGAAGTATTTCATCAGCATGTATGACCTTGCTCGCCTCGAGGAGACGATCGCTTTTGGCCTTGACTACACCCGCAACACTGAAGGCAAATATCTAAGGTGCCCCATCAAGCATTGGTTCTACACTCCTAGTTGTGCTCAACTTGCTGCTGATACACACAGACGACCTATTGCTGTGTATCCAGACAGAGATGACAAAAACGAAAATGGAATGTACTGTACGGCGCCATTGTTGTTAGTACCATTTGAAGGACCAGGAACGAATGCTCGACCGTTACCTCTTATCATGCAGTTCGTTTCAGGATGTCATTGGCCGACATTAGAAATGAGAACTGCAAAGAAACTACAATGGCCTTTTATCGAACGATCGGTTGTAACAGCTTGTGAAAAGATGGGTCACACGCATGATTTGCGCAAAAAAGTTTGGAGATATTCGGACATCAAAAAGGTCAACATTGAGGAAAATGTTTAGAAAGAAACAATTTTAATAGATAGTTTTTTCTTATGCATCTTTGTGATGCTATCACATATCATTATCAATTTTCTCCTATTCCTTTTATATTAAAATTAACATTTAATATACATACTTATGATAAAATCAATAAATATCAACTCAAGCTTTATTTCGCTTTTTGCACTCCATTTTGCACTCCATTTTGCACTCTATTGTCTACATCCTGCACTCCAACATCAGAAGGTCCATCAAGCGATATATTTATAGAGCAACTGTTTATTTTTGTGCAACTACTGTATTTGGTTTATTTGAGGAAAAATGGAGTGTCGAGTCACTTTTTTGGAGTGTCCCTAGTAATAGCCAAAAAAAAAAAGATAGTATGCACCATACCAGAAAGGAAAGTGGCAAGATACAGCTGTGTTTGTTGAACATTTCGTCACAAACCTGTCAGATCAATTGCGCCAATTATTTTCTATGCAGACAACCCGTACTACAATTTTTAAACAAGGACATAGAGCTGTTCAGGCAGGACAACAGCAGCAGCAGGAGCAATATAATCCATATCGACCCAATCCACATGTTAGCTGGTTGTTTCAAGCATCCGCTATCAATCCTTTCGGTACAGCATCTACATACAACTACGCTACACAACTACGCCAAACTTCTGCAGCAATTCCATCAGTCGAACGACCTCCTACTACTGTCATCCGCGGATCCACCTATAACAACCTCCATGAACCCATCTTCCATGTCAGTGCTCCGCCGGATAACAATACGGCACCAGCTGGTGGTGGTGCCTATGTTCCAGCACTTGCACCTACTATTCATGATCAATCACGTCAATCACCTGAGATGGATGTTTTTGGAGGCAACGGCGGCAGCGATGACGGTGGCAAGCGAGGAAGCTGGCTTTTGAAGGAAATTGCAGTACGATGGCAGCAAGGGTCGGCAACGGGCGCACGTGCATCCTAGCATCACAGCAACAACCGATGCAAGCAGTGTCAATAACGATAGTTCTGCCTTTAATACCACTGACGAGTCTAAGCAGCAGAGACCTCAACACATTCAAACAGATTCTGACGATAACAGCAATATCAACAAAGGAAGAATGTTATGGGACGATGCATTAGCAAGCGCTGGCGGTAGTACAGTAGCGCGGTCAGCTTCAGCCTCATCATATCACTAAAATATGTGACTTAAACTGAGTGATCCAATACTCACCGCTCACACTAAGCGCAGACATGACCAGAAAGGTACTCACATATCTACTACCAACCACGTCAAGCAATCATTTAGCACGCAACGCAATCACCTATTTGAGGATTCACCTTTGAACATGAAAATTAAGAGAGCAACAGTCTTCTTGTCCTTCTCATTGATTAGCTGCAAACATTTAACTATACATCACTGGAATTAAAGGCAGTGTATATGTGCTGCGATAGGTGCGGGTACACTTATGCGCGGCATGGTCTACATATCAGGTACAACGATTGCATTATGTAGCAAAAAAAGCAAAAGCAGGAACTGGCCATAGCTGTAATGCAGAACAGCATTAAGGGACCAAACAGTGCTTCACCGCATTGCCTCTGTGCAGTAATGGCATCAAGGCTTTGAAAAGAAAGGAAGCTGTCAAAGGGGTAGTGTTTGCTGCCGTTATGCCGTTTGCATCGTTGACGCGTGCATCGATTGTTTCACTTACGTATTATCATATGCTGTTGATGCTTTTAACATATATAAAGGTAAACGGCGTACCGTTATTTTATTGTTCGGTCTCTGTATACTGCGTATGTAAGCTATACATGAGATCAATAAGCAAAAAGCAAAATTTATAATAAAGCATTTATTACTTGAAATCGTATACTGTACAAATGTAAGTAACAAAAGCGTCTGTAGAGGGAGAGGTTAGAAAAGCAGCGTCCAAACTCCTATGCAACTGCGGGAAAACTGACAACTTAAAGCCTTCCGTATTTTATGTTTAACCTTTTTTAAAAGCGACACCATGACATCGCCTGCTAATGAAATTGAAAAAGGTGGGCGCCTCATCTTTATAAGATTAAAGTTTTCTGCACCTTCTTTCTCAAGACAGATCATATCGTCCAGACATTAACAATCTGACATACACGTTCAGTGCTCGCCGATCGTGAACGACTTGCCGACGAGATCTTGACGAACAAACAAGCCGTAAGAATCCTTCCTTCGTTCAATGCTGAGTATCTGTCGTATTTGAATGCTCAATCCGTTTTTTCAAATAGGTCATTGACTATGATCGGAGGAGGAATGGAAACCGCGAAGGCTTAAATCAGTTAACAAAAGGCAACATGAAAAATGGTAACACAGTTCTTCCGCTGTCCGCGAGCGAAAAAAATACGAGAGATAGTGTCCTCTAAACAACTTGATTCAAAAATCTTAGAAAAGAAAGCATGGATCATGAGTGGTGATATGTTTTTCAAGCTACCTGTCAAAGATGCCAAAGAACATATCGAAAAAGGTAACGGTACCCGTTACGGTAGAAGAAAAGCATACGGGTTTGCAGAACATACTAAATGAGAACCGTAATGGGTCCTGCCCATACTTAGACCAAAAGACGTTGACGGATAAAATTGATGCAGCACGGCAAACAATGAAAGAAAAAACACAAAAGTTGGAAGGATTCGATATGAAGGGATTTGATCTGAAGAGTATATCGTCTGAAGATCTGTACGGTATTACCAAGAAATAACTACTACTACTACTACTACTACTACTATATATCATGACTCAAAGATTTATTGTTGTATACTGAGGATATGGTGATAAGAGAGGAACGGAATCCAAGGGAGAGTTACATACATTAGCGTGCACTTCTATTTTCGAGCATCACATGCATGACATCATAGCATGATGATTCGTTTTCCTCTTGCACTAGTAAAAGTTAAAGAGTACTATGGCATTTAAGCGAGCAACGATGCAACAAGTAGCAAAGTATTCAAAAGAAAAAGTCCCTCTTTTACTATGCATATATTACGAGCCTGCTCTTGTCACACCAACAGTGGCTATTCTCGGGTAATGCACCCACACTATCTGAATATAGGCCGTTCAGGCTATTGTGGGGAAAGAAACAGAAAGAACTCGGGTGCAGTTTTACCGATTTTAACCGGACTTTTTTTTTTATTAAATTCTGAGACCTTGCTGACACAGCATTTTGTTGTTTTTCTCTTCTCTACCTTCTACAATCGATCATGGCATTCCGAGCACCGTTAGCCAATTTGACACGACACTTTGCTACACATACAGCCGCTACTGTGCGGCTACAGCAAGCACAGCTGAAGCGCAACATTTTCACTCCTGCATGGAATCATACACGTATTGCCTCAACTACTGTTCCTCGGTCATTCTTGGCTTCGCAGCAACAGCAAGGTAACTTATATGCAGCAATAAAAAAGCAAGAAGAAAAGGAGAGGAACCACATACTCACCGAATGTATATCTAGTTCGCACCATGTTTATACAAACGGAACCGACACCCAACGATGACTCGCTGAAATTCATTCCCGGCGTCCCCGTCATGGGCAGCGGCACCGCCGAGTTCTTAGACACACGAACCGCCATGAAATCGCCACTCGCCAAAACACTATTTCAAATCGACGGTATTGGAGGCGTATTTTTTGGCCCTGACTTTGTTACGATATCCAAAGAGTCCACAGCCGAATGGCAATTGATGAAACCCGACATTTATGCTGCCATCATGGATCATTTCAGTTCCGGACAACCTATAGTGTTTGATGCCAACGATTTGGCAGCATCCGACACTGCGATCCATGAAGACGATTCAGAAGAAGTCCAGATGATCAAAGAGCTGTTGGACACGCGGATCCGGCCTGCGATCCAGGAGGATGGTGGTGATATCGAATACTGTGGGTTCGAGGGCGGTATTGTCAAACTCAAGCTCAAGGGCAGCTGTCGTGGCTGTGACAGTGCGGTGGTCACGCTCAAGAACGGCATCGAGAATATGCTGATGCATTATATTCCAGAAGTCGAAGGCGTGGAGCAGGTCATTGGTGAAGAGGAAGGCATTGCTCTGCAAGAGTTTGAAAAGCTCGAGCAAAAGCTGGGCGAGAAATAAATGAACTTCCTCCTTGTACCTTGTATATCATGAAAAAAAGCACTATGAATATAAATATATGCGTATAAAATAGACTTGATCCAAACCATCAACAAAATGGGATTACACAACTTATCAATGCCCTGCTTTTTCTGGATTGTTTGCTTTTTTAAAAGCAGCGGAGTTCTGCATGGTTTCGTGGAACGCGCTGAAAGGGTTTGAGGCCTCGCCCTGTTGTAACTTGCTTTTTTTTAGGTTCCAAAAACCCAAAAAGAAAAGACCCCTCTTTTTCTTTCTTGTACTTGTTCTGAACTCTTTATCCGACTATGGATTTCCTGACGAGGGGCTACATTGCCATACGAGGCGACAAAGGCCAGCCGCAATCTGTGGACGAAACCATTGAAAAGTTGGCAGATTGCCTTGAAACGGCGACCTTGTTAGAGGACAGACGAGCCGCGGTGCTTAGCTTGAAGGGCCTCGTACGAGATTATCCTGAGGTATATATACAAGATTTACACCTTGAGAGAAAAAGAGAAAGAGGAATAGGACGAGTGGGAATTGGAAATAACATCATACTGCTCAGTTGGAAGACTGATTTTGACGGTGTTCTCTATTTCTGTTCCATTCAGAACGTCGGTGCGCAAGCGTTTCCCGGCCTTATTAAAGTTTTGCACAATGACTATAAAGATGGAGACATGACAAAGTCGATTCTCGAGACTTTGACTGTGCTTTGCTCAGTCGAACGCGAGGTAAAGATACTTTGAGGAGAGAGAGAGGGAATAAACCAACAGTAAGCGGGTCGAATAAGCTAAAGCAAACATAAAACAGAATGTCGCTGAAGATAAGGGATACAAGTACACAGATCTGTTTCTGAAGGTATGGACCATGACGGGGCGAAAGAACAAGCCAAATATATTACGGACGACAGAGAGACGACACGGCTGATATACATGATGGAAACTGACTATGAATGTATTAATACAGGACTCGTCGAATGTATCTATTGTGCTTGACGTTCTCGAAGAATTCGACTTCTACCTGAGATACAGCGCCATCAAGTTATTATCGACGCTTTCGTATAATCGTAACACTGGCATTCAACAATGCGTTCTTACGAGTCCCATGGGTATTACACGGCTCGCCGATTTGTTAAACGACAAGCGAGATATCATTCGAAATGGTAATGGGTTTGCGAACATATAAAGAAATGAGGTGATAGAAATTCGGTTAAGCTGAATTGATGTTGTATATTATAGAGAGTTTACTGTTGCTGACATCGTTGACACAAAACAACGCCGAGATCCAAAAACTTGTCACGTTCCAAGCAACATTTGAAAAGTTACTGACAGTGATTGAGGATGAGGAGGGTATTTCCGGTGGCATTGTTGTTCAGGACAGTCTGATATTGATGCATAATCTTCTGAAATATAACGTATCCAACCAAGTAAGTATTTTACTGGATTGAGACTCGGCTGCTGCATGAGTGGGTATGTTGCCCCTGACAAGAGAAACATATATTGTCCAGATCTATTTCCGGGAAACCAGCTGTATCCAACAAATCCCTGGCTTACTTGGCTACGTGGGCGACAGTGAGGCCGATCATGTCCCCTACTCATATGAAGACTGGCCTCCACAAAAAGTGGCCAACACTGTGCTTGTACTCGACCTGTGTCGCATATTGACCGAGCCCGAGGGCGTCAATACTGCCACGAACCAAAAGGCAATGGTTCAAAGCAGCATCTTGCTACCTATTGTGCAACTGGGTATCTGTTCCAATGCACCTGCGTTTGTCCGTACAGGAGCAATTTATTCGATTGCCTATGTTGTATACAACAATCCAGCCGTCCAGGAATTGTTTGCAAAGACGGTGGTGGCGACGCCTCCGCGCTTAATTGACGGGGAAATCGATCCAGCTGCACCGCCAGGATTACCTCGGCCCGCTATGGTGTCTTTGATTGCTATTGCTGCTGCAGCTGATCCGGACGTCGAGTATAGCTACACCAGTCGTGCCGCTGCTGCTTTCGCCGTAGCATCTTGTTTGCAAGGCAATGAGGAGGCGCAGCTGGTTCTCGCTTCTATGCTCAAAATGCCACCAGACGATAACGTCAATTCCCAATATACAGGTAAGGTTTAAACCTTCCATAATAGAGAAGGAGAAAAGTAGGTGATAGGTTGGTTTAATTGCTGTCAAATGGGTTCTAATAACAGTATGGTATATGTGTATGTGTAGATAAACCATTCTCTGCCGGATCACTATTATTGGAAGCTGTTCAAAACTGGGAACTATCTGCAGCTGATCCCTACAAGGTCTGGTTCTCCTGCACAATTCTATCCCATGTGATTATGGGCAACGAACAAGCGAAAAAAATAGCTGGCAGTATCGTGTTTGGTGATGAAGCAAACGGCGAAGAACCTGTGCCACTTTTGCATCATATTATGGCTCAACTGCTCATGGCAGCCAAAAACCCAGGCACAAACTGCAGAATACCAATTGGTTACCTATGCTTGTTGTGCACTTGGCTTTATGATAGCCCTGAATCCGTCAGTTTATTTCTGTCCGAAAGCACACATATCCAGTTTGTATGTCTTTTGTTTTCTTTACTTGCGAAACGGTGTATAGGTTTGAGAAAGTTCTCATTGTATATCCGTTACTTTCTTTTGATAGTTAATCCAAGAGATTCAGTCATCTGCAAACGATCCAGTAGTCCAAGGTTTGGCTGCATTCCTGCTAGGTATCACTTATGAAAATAACAATGATCCAAATACGCCGCTGAGCAGGTAAGATTATCATTATCATCAGGGATGGCTATATACAGGCAATGTGATATGCTTGGTAACCGTACTTAATCTGTCACTTTCGCTTAGAGAGAAATTACATACTATCCTGTCAAGTCGCATCGACTTATTCACCAGCTTGCTATCACGCTTGCGAGATAGTCCTGCTGTCAAGAACGCACCACAATACCTGGAAATTTCGCCCGAGGACGAATCCATTTCTTTGAGCACAGGCTCTTTACCGTCGCTTCTCCTCGATAATGCATTTGCGGAATTCTTCAAGGATACCTATGGTAAGTAGTGATTATTTTCTAATAAACGGTTAATTGACTCTATTTCTTTAAATAGAACAAACAACACGAGCGCTTAAGCGAAAACCATCTAGCTTCAACAAGTCACCTTCAGGTATGTAAAGACAGGAAGGAAAACATGGGACTCGAGGAACTTAGAGATGAAGAGAGAGATAGTGAGACTACTATATGCTTATACACGAACGTGGATAAGCGATCTTGTAATACCTGAACTAATAAAATTTATATAACCAAATGGGGGCTGTTCTTTTCATTGATTTAATAGGTGAAGCAGCATCGCCTCTTATGGGAGCCAATGTCATTTCTGAACAACAACTGGAATCATACAAAGAAACGATTTCACAACAAGCAAATGAGATCACTCAACTCAAACAACAAGTATCCGAACTGGATTCATGCAAGACGACCATCAGTAACTTGCAAAATCAAGTAGCAGAATTGGAAGGGCGTCTGAAGGCTATGGTAATTAGGATAAGTGATAGAGAGAGAGAGAGCAAAAAGGAGACGACAATCAAACATATCTAAAAGGATATTATATAGCGAACCGATGAAAGTGCATTACAAGATAAAATGTCCGAATTGGAAAGAGGACGGGCTGCTATGCAAGAATCATTGACGAGCATGGAAAAGGAACAAGAAGATTTGCTTGTATGCATGGGTAAGTTTAATTAATGGTTCATTTGATTATTTGGGTTTCTACCTTTCTTTCTTCATGTGTGTGACATGTTTATTGTTGGATAAGCTAAATGATGGTAATGTTGTTGTACATAGGTGAACAAGATTTGGATATCAAAAAGTACAGAAAGCGGTTACGGGACAAAGGTGAACCCGTGACGGATAGCGAAGATGAAGAAGAGTAAAAATGATATATAATAATAAAAATAATGATAATATATAGCAAATTAATTAATATATCGATGAATTGAATGATGGTGATGGGGTCAAAATGATGAAAATGATGATGAGGATGATTTCTGAATGGATGGTATGCTCTCGCTATTCATTGTATAGTAACGATATAGATATAATCACCAAAGAAACACAATGTATAGATAATTATTTTTGATAGATGGATATACACTTCTTTTCTTTTTTAATTTGTGGGTTTTTTGAGAATAGTTCGTGGCTTGCGAGGTTTTTTGGGCACGTGGATCGATGATGATGGATTGGATCGAGCGTCCTGCTGGATATAGAAGATAGGTTGGAATTGAATCGGTTGAGGGACAATGGCAGCTGTTCCTCCTCCTCCTCGCTGTTGCATTGTTGTTGGAGCTTGGGATTGTTGCTGTTGTTGTTGCTGCTGTAACGCCATTAAATGTGGATGCATGGCGAAAATAGGCTGTGGTAAAAACACAGGCGTTGGTTGTGGCGGTCGAGGAGCAATCGGTGGAGGTATAGAAAACCGATGTTGTTGTGGTACCGGTGCAACAGGAACTGTTCCATTCGGGGACGACGACGTGGTTGACGGTGTTGCTGCTGCGGGTAAAGTAATACGTCGTTTTTTAGTGGATGGTAGTAGTGCGGTGGATGATGTTAGTGCCATTTTCGACTGAGGAGAACAAGGGGATGGGGCCATAGCAACATTCGAGTTGTTGCTGTCCCTCCTACTATTGCTGCCATTTTTAGCCTCCTTTTTGGCAGTTAAAACTTGCAATTTCAATCGAGCCGATCGTAGAGCATGGTGCTCCTTGAGTACCCGAGTGAATTGACCCACTGCCCCCGAGTTGGAATAACTTTGCATGAGTTCAAGTGTGGATTGTGAGATACCGCTTCGATGGGATAACACGGCGGGGAATTCTTCTGCGAGTGGTGTAGGTAATGAGTCGCGAATTGCTTGGTCGTGGCCAAAGAACGTTCGTTTGCAATGTGTGCACTTGTATCGATAACTCATCAGGTAAAAGTCGCTGTGCAGATCCAGAATGCGTCGTGCACATGGTGCTGTCGCCCAGCCATGCGATTGTAGTCTTTTACGGTCGCATCCTTCGGATGGACAGTACAAGGTATCGACAAGCAGATGTACGAGCCAGACAAATACACGCGGTCGTTTCATGTTTGCGTAGAGTAAATCAGCTGCATTGTCGTTGCAATTGGTATCCTCGTTGCTACCCTTGTTTTTCTCGTCATTCCTGTGTGTAGTAGCATTCAGACTGTCGATACTTTGACTATGATTAGAGGCATGATTGTCGGTGGTGTTGATGGTATCAGTAATAGCGGGATTATTGCTATTATCATTGGTGGTGTTAGCGGAGACACCGTTTGCGGAAACTGAGACTGCGGTAGCTGTAGCAGTAGCAACATCAGCATCAGTGCTGCTATCAGCATAGGGCGTTTCCAATTCTACTCTTGCCACGGGTGGTGTTGAAGTAGTGGCTTTCCACAACGTAAAGAATGGGTTCGGCGGCGTAATCCAGAACGTGCCTTCTTCATAACATTTGGGTAATCTAGATTCCCGTTCGTGCATTTGCTTGGTCAGTTCGAGTTGAAGTTCGCGGAAATAGTTTGCTAATGCGGGGCCGTCTTCCTCATCGCTTGGAGCGGCTGCAGCAATCGCGTCTATGGTTTGTTCGTGTTGTTGCGGCTGCTGGTGTTGGTGTTGTGAAGCCATTGATGCAGCAGCAGTATTGTGATTATTGACTTCCATGATACTCAGAATATTTCCCATGCAGCTGTTGTATGATAGAAAAGGGTTAAAACGATTGTGAAAAGGCGTTGTGGGGTTTGAAGGAAGAGAAAAGAATGGAGGATGTGATGTTTGGTTTCCACCAGTCTGGGGATGCAAATTCTGGGCGAGTCCATCATGCGCAGTGATTGGTGCAGTGGATATCTCCGTTTCTGACACCGGCTGCCATTGGTTCACCAAGCGATGTGATGCATCGCTCTTCAGGCATTCGAATTTCTTGACAACACCTCTACCAGGCCCCATTATTAAGCTCTTCTGGGGCCGTGTCTCTACGAGCACTCTCGCCAATCACATCGCAGTAAGAACTGGGAACCGCTCCCCCGCCACCAAACCACTTGGCACACACAACAACCCCACTTGCTGTCGCCTAGTATTCATTTTCTTTTGTCTTTCTTGCTTTTTATAGTAGAACTATTTGTGACGCTTGATGGTCGAATGCTATCAAAGACACAAATCTCGAGCACTCGGTTTTACTATACGTCTTTGTTTTTCTAGAACACTATAAGGGTGACATAACCTGATCAAATTCAAGCACGCACAATTAAGCGTTCGTGATATATTTTGTGAGTAAAGAAAAAACTTTCAAAACACACCTCGTCTTCTTTTTTATATTCTTCGACTTCCCAACAGTCACTTGCCGTCTTCTTCATCTCCGCTTGCTCGGTGGGGTGGGGGGCTTGCCCTGGCTGGCGCAAAAACTTTTTTTTTGTTTGCGATCACCCCGAGGACTCCCTTCTTTCTTCTTTTCCTTACAAAACCTTTTTTTCTTCCCTTCTCTTTGAAAAAGGAGGTGGAAAAAAAGGATTTTTGGGGAGAATGATGACAGCTTTGGTAACCGTGATATAAGTAATGCAAATAAACAACATTAGTGCTGTTAACCCCAGCTCTTTTACGAACTGGCTGTGTTTTCATCGCGTTGTTTTTGATCATTATCTTCACAATGACGATACACAGGCGAATGTCTGACCACACCTACACACACACACACACGCAATAACCACGTCTGTATTCTTTCCTTTGATTCAAGAACGCATGCTATTATAAGGTAAATTTCCTAACAAGCTTTCTTTTGTGGCTTATAATGTGGTTGTTGGATTATACAAAGAAGAGAGAAAATGATGAAAATCACATATGCTTGAAGCCTATCGTGATACAGTAAATATCTCTAAGAAGTCCTGATTCTTCCCTCTTCTTTGTGGATGTCTGGTGTGTGGTCGAGAAAACTGGGAGGAGAGAACTGGTGGCTTATAATTCGCGAAAAATGGTTACTAACTTTAATCGTTGAACTCTCAGGTCTGGTTTACTGCTGTTCTTGGATGACCACGGAGCATCCTGTGGTCCGTGTTAGGAATGTATTACTGTTATCTTGAAAGTTCATCAATAAACGTACTGTACTCTAAAAAACACAAAGGGTCTCGTTTCATGTTTGTACTTAGCTAGTGAGAAGGGGTGTCGGGTGGTATAAATCGTATGGCCGTGAGAGGTTCAAAGGTAGCTCTAGTTCGTAATGTATACCGATACCCACGGATATAATGGGATAGAGGAATGACACTCGTTTATTTTTTATTAGGCAAAGGGACCTTGGGTGGTAAGACTAAACGCTTGTTCCTTTTCCAAAACTCCACCAAGCATCTTGCTGTCTTCTCTGGCTCGTCCTCTTGCAGAAAGTGACCTGCCTCTGGGATAATGTGCAATTGAAATTTGCCTATCCATAAAAGTTAGCCCATCAAATAAACACGCACACACACACACTCTCTCTCTCCCGTACTCTTCTCTACCTTGCATTTGCCCAATCATGAGTGGTTTATCCAACCGATCCGTGCCGGCCAGGATCAACAGCTTTGCAGCTGGGCAGCTCAAAAACTTGGACGATAAATTTTCAAACCATTCTATATGTAATTGTTAATTTAGCACATACTGTATAAACAACACGAAACATTACCTGTCCAATAGGGTGTAGTTTTGGTCAAATTTGTTTTCCAAACAAGGGTTGTACTACTAGATGGATCAATTTCATCTTTGATCTGAACGAGTGGGGGCACCGATACCTTGGCCGATTTCAAGTTGTGCATGACTGTGCCTGATTTTAGACTATTTGAAATATCGGTATATTCCCTTGAGTCTTTAAGAAACGGATGGTAGCCCCCCCCCCGCCCCCTTTTCTCTCTACACCCCTCATCTTTGTGTCCATAATAACCTCCATTGAATAGCTTGTTCTACGGATCCGAATTGTTGTGGTCTTGAGCTCAATATTTTAGTCATTGAAGCGAGTGCGTCCATGGCAGAACCTGTATGTTACGGGGATATGTAAGATTCGAATTGATGGATTCCAGTTAAAAAAAACGATTCCTACTACAGCAACTACTGCTGCTAATAATATCCCTGGATACTTTTAACCCATTTAAAAGAACTGACCTTCCACGACATCCAATACGCACACGCCGACAACATTGCGCAAACGTTTTCGACTTGCTACATCTACAACTATAGATCCACCCATACTAATTTCGATTGATTTCAGTTAAAAAACGAGTATAGCTTAGCACGAATGACACGTACCTATGACCCACTAGAATCAAGTCAGGTTGAATATCGTCTTTGTACAACTGCTGTAACACATTGACGAGGTCTTCGCTCATGGTTTGAAGCGAAAAATCGATATCATTCGATGTATGTGTGTCGCCTTGTTTATAAGAAGCATGCATCTATCCTTAGCATCCGGGGATGATAAATTTGCAATTCACAGTAATAAAACAACTGGGTTTTGTGTTGTTACCATGGCCACGGCCGTCAATGGCTACAATTGAGCACTGTCCTTCGGTTTGCTGCTTGATATGATGCGCTGTCAATGCAAACGATAAGCCTGAATGGCCTGCTCCATGATGAAGCACAAATACAGGATACGCCTTATTGTTGTTAGAAGACGCATCTATCCTATACACCCGAAAAGTGTGTTGTGTAAAAGTTGCAAGAGTCAAGGATTTTGCTGTGGTTTATGATTTTATGATGACAACCCCAAGGCTAAGTTGTTACAAAACAAAAAAAAAAAGGATATATCGGATGTGTCTGGGATGGTTACATCTTGATAACTTTCAAAATACGTGTTCCACGAGACGGGTGCATATTTATTCTTCATACGATCGGGCATACTGGCACGCGAAGGTGACGATAATCTTTACATGTACCGACAATATTAAATAAATGAGCAAATGTCGAGTATTCTTTTAGTTCTTGTCGTTACAATATATATATGCCTTCTCCTGCTTGAAGTTTAATTACCCTCCGTTCAATTCTGCCAAAGTATCACAATCTTCTTCTTCTCGTTGCTCTTCAACTTTTGTATCATTAGATGACAATGGTGTCTCGGCAGATTCCAGATCTAAGTTCTGATGTTTGCTCTTTCTAAATAATTCCTTTTGCAGTGCAGACATGCTTTAACAAGAGAAAAAAAAAGACGCGGAAATGCTAAAGACGGGATTCGAATATACAAATAACATGCCGCTTGTGCGTAACTATCAAACATCTGGTCACTACTGTCGAAACTATTCGTTCAACGAGTTTATAGGCTCAAAAGACATTGACACACGGTTCCTCGTAGTCATCGTAACCAACCTTCTTTTTTCTACCACCACTACCATACATAGAATATTCAACACCGTATCGACGACACCCAAGTAGTGTACCCTAGTAGCCCATTTCCTAAACTGCAGGGTAGTGTGTCCACCCGTGAAAAGTCAAAGTATTTGTATATTACATTTATATAAACAAGGAATCGTAACATCGGCAGCAGAAAAACGCTGGTATAATTTCTATTGAGCGAATTGTGATAACTCTTTAAACACGTTCAAGAATAACGGCAACACCTTGACCACCGCCGATACAAGCCGAGCCAACTGCATACTTGGACTTGGTTCGTTGAAGAGCATGCGACAAATGCGTCAGGATACGAGCACCAGAAGCGCCCAGAGGATGACCGACCGCAATAGCACCACCGTTGACATTTGTTTTCTCACGATCCAGGCCCAATTCCTTTTCCACAGCCAAGTACTGAGCAGCAAAGGCCTCATTGACTTCCACCAAATCCATCTGATCCAAAGTCAAGTTGGCGCGCTTGAGAGCGCCTTGAATTGCCGGGACAGGACCCAGACCCATCAAGGTGGGTTCCACAGCGGACGCTTGCCAGCTCACGACACGTGCCAAAGGGGTCAAGCCGTGTTTCTTGACGGCATCTTCGCTGGCAACGATTAATGCAGCGGCACCGTCGTTGATACCTGATGCATTGCCTGCCGATGTGACGCCGCCATCCTTTTTGAACACAGGCTTCAATTTGGCCAATGCTTCGTAAGTGATACCAGACCGTGGGTATTCGTCTTGAGCGACCGTTTCGATGGCCTTGCGACCCTTGACATCGACAGGCGTGATTTCCGTCTCAAAGATGCCGTTCTTAGTAGCTAGGGAGACCCTCTATTTAGTATCTACAGATACTCATTCTTTCCTTTCGTTCCTTTCCATCATGCTCGTTCTGTCCCAAAGTATTACCTTGTTCAAACCGGTTCTGACTCAAGGTAGCGTAACGATCACACTCCTCCTTGGAAATCTTGTACATTTCTGCCAGATTCTCAGCAGTGATACCCATGGGCGTAGGGTTGGGATACTGATCGGTCAACGTAGCCCACATGGAATCCTGAAGCTTCAGATCCACACCCAGCTTGAGACCCCAACGCGATTTGCCGCTCAAAGTATAAGGCGACAGAGACATGCTTTCGGCACCACCGGCCAAGACGATCTCGCTATCGCCGAGCAGGATTTCGTGGGTTGCATTAACGACACTTTGAAGACCCGAGCCACACAATCGGTTGACAGTCAGAGCAGGTACGTGAACAGGTAAGCCTGCACGATGGCCAATGTGACGGGCAACGTAGGCACCTGCAGGATCGGTCTGCATCACGTTACCGATAATCACAGCATCGATAGGAAGATCGGGTTTGTTCGTGTCAGCAATAGCAGCCTTGGATGCCAATCCACCCAGTTCAGAGGCTGTTTGTGTTCAATCACAAAGCATTTTTTTTAGTTTGGGCTCGCCCTGAACGCTTAGCCATAAGAGAAAAGGCTTTCTATAACTCACCAGTCAAGTCCTTGAGCTTGCCACCAAAACTACCGAAAGGGGTTCTACATCAAAAAGCACGTAGTGTGAGTTGTGGAATGGCAATGTTGCAATGGTGGAAAAACAAAAGGGAGCCCGAGATTCCCAGCTTTACCTTTTGGCAGAAACGATAAAAACCTGTCGAAGTGCCATTTTCCCTTGTGTGTATCAAGTGGGTAGGAGAAGGAGCAGGAGAAGAAAAGGAGTGAGCACATTCACAAAAAGTAAAACCCGTGGAAAGTTTATGTGTAATAGCACAGCATGTGAAAATTGGTTACATGCGATTGTGTGTGTGTAAGTGTGTGTGTAAGTGTGTGTGTAAGTGTGTGAAAAGAGCTCAAAGGCTAACCCCCTTTAGCAGCAGAGAGGGAGGTTCTCCGCATTTGTCGACGATAAAGCATGGGCGCATTTGAGGCACACACACACACACACACACCAGCCTCATTCATTCTCCTTTGTTTAACCTTGCTGCTATTAGCCCCATTTGAGCTTTCTCCCCACATACACCCTGTTACCAATAAGGGGCTCTTTTTTTTCTAATTACGGGACTTGGCCCGAGACGCCTTGGCCAAGTTCTTTATTATGATGAATGGGATGATTGGATACACGCATGAATGAGTGGAATGGATGCTGTGATGTCGACATGGACAGTGCTATGTATATGGGGGCTAGAATGACGATGAAGGGAAGGGAAGGGATTTGGGATGGGATGGGTGATATGTAGTTAGCAATAGTATATATAACACACATATGAAATAATAACAATAATAATAAAGGAAAGAGTTGGGAGTGGTTTACACCGCCTGCGGTACAAACGTTGTGTCATGGAGCCCGGGTCGTTGTTTCCGACGCCCATGACTCGAGGTTGCAGCACGCATGGACCGTCGTGACACGACTGTCGAAATGGGTACATTATCGTCGTCACTGCTGCTCATGTCCAATTGTTCTTTGACCTTTTGTTTGTATTTATCCGCAGCAGACAACATTGTTGTTCCCGATGACGATCCCACCACGACGCCTCTTGCCTTGGCACTCAGCGCAGTTGCAATAGGAACCAGATCCTTGTCATCCTCTTCTGCTGCACCCTCGTCGAGCAAATTATTGTTATTGCTCTTTGTTGTTGCCATCGTCACTGCTAACGGTACATCGTCGTCGTCGTCGTCGTCGTCGTCATGACTGTTGTTGGGAGACCGCCGTGATAGTTGTTGCTGCCGTTGTCGCGAATGGGAGGGTGACGGCATCCTTGGTGACAAGGGCATTCTTGGCGACGGTGGTGCTGCTCCCATCATCATTCCCCTTGGAGAACTGTTGGCTGCAGTTCGTTGTTGGTGTTGATACGGATTTGATCCAGCCCGACTCAAGCTATTGCTCGGGAACGGCATTGGCGGATAATTTGTATTATTGTGAATAGCCTCGTACTGGTGTCGACTCGCTTGACGTAAATCATGGGCAGACGAATGTTTTTTCAGTGCTGGTGAGCCTGGTGGTGTAAACTGACGCGGCATGGGCGGACGTGGTGATGATGTCGGAGGTGTTGACCGAGGCGCTGAAGTAGATGGCGATGGTGTTGGTGATGTGCCACACAATTTACTCAATGTCTGCTCACGAACTTTGACACTGTGTGCTCTTTGGGCTGCTGCGCGTTGTTGTTGTTGTTGGGAGTTGGTAGCAGCTGCTGTTGATTTTGACCGTGGACGCCTTGCAGTAGTGGTATTGGACGATGGTTTTTTGGATAAGATTTCAACGGGTTTTGTAGAATGCACAGGTTCGTATGGATCATAGCCCATACTGACAGGCAATTGTGGAGGTGGTGGTGGTGGTGAAGGAGTGGATGGGCCCACAGCAGGGACAGCAGTATTTGTACCTACTCCTGATGATGATGACGATGATTTGGTGTGCTTGTTGCTGCTTCGAAACAGGCCAAACAGCGGCTTTGGCTTCTTTTTCTTGGATTCGTGTTGGGAGTTCATCGTGGTAGAGCGAGTGGGGCACCAAAAAAAAAAAGTGCAATGAAATGGAAAGAAAGGCTGGAACGATTTTTTTTTTTTGGTTCACCCCAATAATGCGTAGCTTTTTAAAGTGAGAGAGAGGGTCCGGGGGACGGGAGGGGGGGAAAAGGGGTGGAGTTTAGGAAGGTGGTCCGGGAACAGCAAATGTTGCACCAAGCGTCCAATTAGCTTATGAATGATACACTTAGTACACCCCACCTCCCCACCCCTCAATAAGCATGCCCACGTTGGGTCGGTCACACAAAATCAACAAAATGGTATCAATAAAAAGCGCCAAAAGTGATCAAATATGCGAAAAGCCGGCGAGAGAAAAGAGAGAAAAACGGGCTTCTTTTTCCGGGGAAACATTCTATAGTTCCATGGAAGATAAGATGGATGGATGGCCTTGATATATAGGAGGAACAAGAGTGCAAAACTACAATGAAAATAAAAGGAGAGGCGCCTTTTAAGATCACTACATACTGTTCATAGGTGAGTGCGATCTATACATACAGATACGTATGTTACAAGCGAGAAACCGGCATTTACAGTAGATTGCGATATTTAGCGAGCTGAGTAGTAGTACGTGCGTGGGTGCGTAGAGCAGATGCAATAGATCGAAAGATGCATCACAACTCTAAATTTGTTCTGGAAAGATATAGGAGCAGGATTACGCTTACGTTTTATCTGATTCCTTAGTACGTGTGCTATATACTGTACTTGGACTTATGCGGCTATGTATCATAGGCACTACCAGATCTATGTTGTTGGTGCGTCGCACTGATCGGCTATTTTTTTCCCTAGATCCAATTTCACCAACTATCCCCCAAATCAAAGTCCACGCGAGACAACTCCATTGCTGCTAACTACTACATATCTGTCACCTCTTCCTCAGCGCCTTCCCCAACTTCCTCCCGGCGCACACTACGCAATATTTCTGTTTGATGAGAAGGTACCCCACATGTTTGCATACCATATATATTTGCAGCGCATGTTGTTCATTTTGGAAATAGATGTTGTTTATTGTGAACCACAGCACTCCCGCCTTTGAGGAAAAGGAAGAGAAAAAGCCTTTTCTTCAACTCTTCATTATATAAAAATGCCCTTGCCCCCTACGTGAAAGAGATTCGTGTTGTACTGTCTTTATAATAGACATTTACGCTAGCGGAGAATACCACAGTATCAGCGTTGTCACGGTAAAAGAATAAAGTTGGCAACCTCGCGGGGTGAGGTCCTAATATGGTAAGCACAGAAACCGCATATAAGCACCTTGTAACTGGATATGCTGATGGAAACTGTGTGTCCTTACCGAAACTCGAACTTGCTTGGGTGTCGCGCCATGGCAGTGGTGATGAGATAGCCGCTTGAGATCTGCAAAGTATATACAGTCTAATCTTTGTGTTGGTCAAGACACTGGTGAGAAGGAGGATGCTGGTGCCAGCCTCAATGCTCTGTCTCTAGCTTCTTCTTTTTTTAGACGATGATCCTTGTCGTCGTGAGCGTGATGATGTCAATCAACTATATCGTTTTTTTCATGCTAACGCCATTGAAAAAAAAAATCAAGTGCTATGCTACATTAAAAAAGCAGTATATACATACTACAAGCACAAGTGTAAATCCAGATAGAGAAGGGGTGGTTGGACAAAAAGTAGTGAATAAAGGGGAATGGAGGGTAACGAAGAAAGAAAAAAGGACCCGTCCTTGCTCTTCTTCTATAACAGTTTCCTTTCTGCTTATTCTCCAACACCATTCCCCGTAGTATGAGATTGAGAAATTAGGTAGGCCAAAGGAAAAACATTATGTAACGAAAGGCGTTGAGTATAATGTAAAATATATACATTTGAAGAAAAAGAAAGAAAGAGAGATTGTGTGTGTGCGAGTGGACGGGGTATTGCTGAAGAAAAGCACGTCTTATGAACGAGGTGCTGTAGAAGGCATACGGTAAAAGTGGACAAGCAGATATGCAATGGAGGCACATAATGTAAAGCAAGCAAGATAGCCCGGTCGCCACAGGAAGTACTCGAGCAGCGCCAAGCATTGTCCCCAGTAGCTGGTTTGCCAACACCCCCAATCCACAATCTATTTACGATCTTTTTGTTTAGTATTTATAACGCATACAGATAGCAAGCAAACAAATTATATTACCGGGAGCCATATGTAATCCGGACGACCTAACGGTGCTTCAGGGTTATCATCGATTTCTGAGCCAGGTACCTTGCGGAGCTCAGTGCAATGAATAGATTGCCTGCCCAAGGAAAGTATTAGTATCAAGCCTGTTGCATACGCTATGCATCGCGCTGTCGTGAAATGATGGCGTAAACCTATTTAGTGATGGGTTCAACCATCCGTCCATTAATGCACACGCACAGACTGTAGATTGCATCCAAATATTTACTCAGGGAATATCGTAATTCTAGAATGTATGAAAGAAGGGCGGTTGTTGTCTGATTTGTTTTATTTACCTGACGACAGATGAGGATGCTTTTTTGTAGAGGATGATGACGAAAGTAATGCAGGAAGGGCGAAGCGTGCAGGGGGTGGAGTGGTGTAATTACTACTAATATGTTTTCGAGCGGTCGAGGAGGAAGAAGAAGCCTGACGACGACGATGATGATGATGATGCTGCTGCTGTGAAGTATACGTTGTTGGTGGTAAGGTATAGTCATGTAAACAAGTGCTGCATTGACGTGTGGTACCCACAGATTGTAGCCAGCTCTCTAGACACTTGTCATGTACGTCGCCACTGTGTTGTTGATGGTGACAATGATGAAGTAAGGGAGAAAGGAGGAATGATGGTGAGCCTTTGTCATTATAATTCTTATCATTACTAGTACTTTGTTCTCCATCTTCTTCTTCTACTCCTCCCCGTTGTTGTTGTTGTTGTTGTGCCAACGACGACGGTGATGATGGTGGTAGTTGAAGTGGTGCTGGCGGTGGCGGTGATGGTAATGACGATTGTGAAGAATGATGATAGTATGGGTATTGGTAAGGTACGTACATGCTCCCGCGGCACTGACAAGGCCGGATGAATTGTCCATTTTCCTGGTCCTCGCTGATACCAAAACAAATTCTACATACAGGATCCACGGTTTCGTCAAACATAAATGCGCCTTGTCGTACGAGTGGTGGTGGATCCTGTGGTTGCAGTTCGTCAGGGCGGAGGTGTCGGCGGAGGTTTGCATGATTTACGCTGCTTCCGTTGACACTGAATACAGTCGGCTGCCGTTGCGACCCAGCAGACGGGAATGCTATTGCTGAAGAGGTGGTACCGTATCGTCCACGATTCGTCATTTGCAATTGTCTTTGAACTTTTGTTGTTGTTGTTGTTGTTTGTTGTCCAAAGGGGCGGAGAGGAAAGAGTTATCTCTTCAAATCGGGGAGATATGTAATGAGCAAAAAGGAAATAGAAACCAGGAGAGGGATGGAGAGGAGCAAAGAAAAGAAAAGACGAACCGTTTTTCAATGTGTGTGGAATTGGCAAGAGAAAAGGATGAAGATTGCGCAATTAATTGTAATGAAATTAAAAACCAAAAGAAAAAAAGTGAGTGTGAAATGCCAGGCAAGAGGTATTGTGGTTTTGGGTGTGAGAGAAAGACGGAAAGACGGGTGGAAATTATTAGCTGCCGTGGTCAATCTATTTCTCGCAACAACAGAGAGTGTGTGTGTGTGTGCGTGAAGGAGAGAGGGGGAGGAGGGGTCTGCTGACTCGTAATTTCGCTGCTGCATATTAAATCCATTCATCATTCCATTTCAAGGACAAGACAGCGGCTCCATCCTTGTGAATCCTTGCGCACCTCTACTGTCTTCCAGCCCGCCATGATCACTTGCACTCGCTCCATCATGCCTTTGCCACACTCCAGCACCAGCTTGGACTGCCGATGCATGAGTGTGGGCACCACCTTACTCAGCACCGTGTACCATTCATACCCGTCGTCATTGGCAAACAATGCAGTGGCGGGCTCGTGTTCCAACATCCGATGCTTGAACACTGCCTTTTCGCTGAGATACGGCGGGTTACACACGACCACATCAAACAATCCCAACCCAGCTTCTGGCAAGAGCGACATGTCCTTTTCCACAAATTCCGCAGCAAGTCCCAATCGACTTGCATTCTCCCTGGCCACCTGCAGTGCATCTGCACTGATATCCAACCCGACGCCAGCCACGGTGTCGTCGTGCAACATGTGCAATATCGACAAGAGCAAATTGCCACATCCAGTGCCAATATCCAACACACGTTTGGGCCGTAAATCAACCGTCGCTCGCACAAGTGTTTCAGAACTCGGTCGTGGAACCAGACATGCTTCGGTCACCTTAAACTTGAGTTGACAGAATTCTTTTTCGCCCAGTCTGTATGCCAATGGCTTGCCGTTTCCTTCTTGATACATGTCGTCCACGAATTCATCGCCACCCGTACCGTCCATTGACACGCCTGCTTTACGCATGGCTTCTAGTTTTTCATCCATCCGTCGGCCCCAAAACTTGTGTTCTCGTGCCCGCAACAGCTCGAATTTGTCCGGCTCTTGCGCTTGCCATGACAATGGTTGCTTGGTGATGGGATGGACAAGTGCAACGTGAATCACGCTCATGCAAAGGCCCTTGTCCTTGCTCGATTTCAAAAACCGGGTATAGGTTGAATTGCCCACGATTGGGTGTTGCTGACCGTAAAGAACGCGTCGGATTGGTGTGCTTGCAAGGGGTGTGCGAATAGCCAAGTCTACAGTCGATAAGTATTCGGCGTGATTCGATCGGGTGATGTTGACGATTGAAATTGATTTGAGAAGGTCCGTGGGTGATCGCTCTATTTTCACTCCTTCGTGTTGATCATCACCATCGTCGCCGTCATCGTCGTTATTCTCAGGCTTATTCGTTATTGTTGAGTACGACTTCATGCTTGAAGCGTCGTCTTTTTCATCCTTTACGGGATCTGTAGGCGGTTGCTCCAAGTGATCGAGTAGATCGGGTGGCACACGACCATGACAAATTGCGCGCATTGTCAGATCTATTTCGCCATTCTGATATTGCCGACTTAATTCTTCTTTGGCCTTTTCTGTCTTGGCGACTACCAACTAGATCATTGACATTGTGTGTTAAGAATCCAAACAGCACAGATATAGGGATAAAAGAAGATAAAAGATTCCGCTTTACCAAACCTGATGCAGCCTTTTGCAGAGAATATGGACACCAGAATTTCTCTTGTTCTGTAGTGTTTGTCAACGCATAAATCAATGCTTTCTCGAACAATCCACTCTAAAGAAAAAGACATCATACTTGCTTGAATATCCAAAAGCACCCGAGATCGTTATTTTCAATGAAGAAGAAAAAAAGTACAAACCAATCCAGGTGCTTTCCAAACAATTGCCATATGTTCATCCTGATATCGGATATCAACAGGAATGGCTTTCATCTTCTCGCGTTCGACGATCGCTCGATCATAGCGTACTTCAACAACATCGCCTGCTCGTAAAATACGAGTTTCTTCAGCCAACTGGCCATTGACAGATACTTCTTTACGGTGAAATGCACGACGACAACAGTCCTGTGATTGAACAATATGACGATAATGTTTCAACAGCCATTTTTTGATCCGGGTATCTGCATCGGCGTCCCGCACCGTTGCTTTCAAGTAGTTTATGCGTTCGATCGAATCTGACATTTATCTGGCAAACGAAAGAAGAAGGAAGGAAGGAAGAAAAGAAAACAACAAGGTATATGATAAAGAAACTTTTTTTTCTGACGAGGGGACTTTCAAAAGTTTCCTAATTTATACACACATCTTGTAAATGCTGTGATATAAACGCAGCTTACTCCCCCGTTGAAATTGTATCAAGAAACAGCAAAAGACTTTTTCCTTCATAAATAATAGCAGTAACAGTAAAAGATAGGATGGAAGATATGAAGCGTATCGAGTAAGATTGCAAATGATATATGAATAGTAAAAAGACAAGAAAGAAGAGAGCTGGAGATGAGGAAAAGCAGATAGCGAGTGTGAACTGGTGAAGGCGTGCTGTAGATGGGTTGGATTGGGAATCTATGACAATATGGCTTCAGCACGGTAGTGGTGAATAAGATATAACGAAATGGTTAATTATTAAGCAAAGGTCGTCGAGCATCTTCGTGATCAGTATCGTCTTCGCCTTCTTGATAAGAAGCACGACGCTGTTTCTTGTTCTTTCTATTCCGTCGACCACAGCAGCACAAGAGGTAGACAAAGAACTTCCAAGCGTACACAATGAGATCAGCGACATCACGAAACACGCTTGCTTTACCGTTAATGATACGTTCTGGACGCAACCGATGACGACTATCAATCATGACACGAATACAAGCGACGACAGCGCTCAGGACACCCAGGGCGGTACTGGCAGAGATCAAGAACATGATGATTTGCTGGTATCTCACGGCATTCATGACCGGCGCACCTCCCAAAATCTGACCTGTCATCATGCCTGGGATCGAAATGAGACCAATCACAGACATTTGATTAATCGTCGGCAACATAGCCAGGCGAACGGCCTCAATAGCGATCGATTGGCCAGCCTCCCATCGCGAAGCACCAAATGCTAGATACGTTTCAATGTGTTCCTTGCGAGTGCCGACACTGGATAGACAGCTGCTTAATGCGACAGCCATGCCGCTCATCATGTTGCCCAATAGCATGCCCATCGTAGGAATGAAGGTCTCAGGCATCCAAAATGGATGTTGTTCCATTGCGAATCTGCTGCCGATAATGCCAATTAAAAGTGTTGAAAAGCCGGTTGATAGTAGTACTGCCAGAAACTGTATACGAAATTGTCTGAGTGAATGTTATATATGACTAAAACGTTTCTTCCTTTCGAAAGAAAAAAATACTACTTACCATGCCGCGGAAACTTTGTTTGGACTTGTTATATACAGTTTCGTAAGTACCGAGCAAGATCAGCACACATGTCATTAGCATAATGATGGCAGGATGTCGAGCCTTGAAGACATCTTCAAGGATGAAGCCCTATAATGAATATGCAGACGCATGCAACCAACAATGAGTACTTGTTTTGGATTAAAATTCAAGCGCCCCGTTCGGTCAGCACCACCAGCATGCAAAAGTACTGCACTCACCATGATCGTAAGCTGTACAAGACATCGGATCGATGCAATGATAAGTGATTTTTCCAGCTTTAAACCAAGCACGACCGACATGATGCCTGGATATGAACAATAGATCAATCTATCAGTTTCCTCATTCCATTTCATCACATGTACGTAAACTGGGTGTCTGGTAATAGGGTTGCTTTGTGGGAGTAGTACTTCACTAATACACCGTCGTAAAAAAATGAGAGGGATATGTTACGTTACCGTTGACCAGAATGAAGCCCGAAGCAACTGCGACATTCTTCCAATCGAGTTGCGGTTGAGCATGGCCACCGCCATCTTCGCCATAAGCACCAGCAAGGGTTGCATTGTCAGCAATACTTTGCTGTAACCCAGTCAACTCCAGCAGGAATGAATGTGACATGGAGTAAAAAGAATAGTAACAAGGGTGGAGAGAGAGAGAGAGAGAAGGGTGGCAAAATTAAAAATCTTTACTCCGAGACAGAGCATGTCTTGTAGCACCCTAAGCGGCTTTAATAGAAACTTTGAGGGTGAAACGGACCAGGATTGCGGTGTATGACAAAAACCGCGCGGGGTGTTTATTATCACCAGGTAACAAAAGCATCCATCTAATATACTCACATCAAACCATCAACGCAGCTATTGATTGCACTTGGCTTATTTTTTACATTTTTGCACAAGGCGCGCATCTCACGCTTTTCTTTGGATGATCTTATATTCATTTCAGAAAAAGAAATTTCATTGAAACAACGGAACTGATCTTGCTTTTGATGATGGCCGTTTTTCTTTTCATCTTCTGGGCGATACTACTGTACTATGCTCAGTTATGTAAAAGCAGGGTCGTGTGTGCGCGTGTTTACGGTGGTGCATATGCAAACAAACAAATTATTGGTTGCCTTTTTCGACATACACGTAACCTTGCAATCTTATAACCCTGGCATGATCCTGCTCAAGTCCTTCAACAGGCAGCAGGCTGTGCGTCTTCTTTTGTATCCTCATGCATCTGACCTTGTACCTTGTGGGCTCCCACTAATTGATAAGCGAGAAAAGTGATATAAATGTTTGCATATCAAAATATGTAGTAGTAATGATCTTCCGCGTTTTATACATCATTATTACATGTATATCGTTATTGAAACTCTCTGTTTCTGTCAAAAAAAGCAAAAATTCTAGCCTGCTCACAGAAATAGCATTATATGCATGTACATCCCAGCATTCGTTAGGAAACAGCACTGTGCTTTGTATGGTAAGCTACAAATTAATAGTTTGGTTTCTTCATAATTCTTCGTTTTGTTTCTGTCAAAATCAAATTTCATATATTGCTATCGATTATGTATCAATAACAGCTCTGCGACAAACCGTGCCTCCTTACCTTCGTACGTTCTTATTTACCACGTAACTTTAGCAACTCTAGCGGTCTATGACTTAACTCTAAATTAGTGGCCACGCAACTATAAGATTTGAGTAGATCTCGCGATTTTGGCGGAAAAAAACAAATTGCAGAAGAAGTACTAATGCATTTAATATCAAATATCATGTACCATATGTCCTCTTTATGTTATCATATAAACGTGAAGAAAGAAAAGTGAGGATCATGTTTGCGACACCAGGACACTTCATGGCTATACCTTGTAGAGTATCACCAACATATAATGTCGTGCTTTCATCAGGCCCTTCGCCCTTTTCTCGCTTTACACTACTACAGCAAACTTCCTTATCCTTAAACTGGTGTGAAAACGTACTTTTAAATGACAGTAACACTATTCTCATTCGACAACTGCTGTAGAGATCACATGATGATGTTTTTGGGTAGAATCAAAATTTAATGTTGCAGGACCGTCATGTTGAATTTGAACGAGCAGGGAACACATTATGGCTGCACATCCCACTTAAGCATATTACATAGAGAGACTGTTGGAATACAGAAAAGTGGTGGTCAATAGCGAATGCGCTGGTGACGCTAAACTCGCAAAAAGATGAAAGTGCACCTAGATAACGTTCAAAAATGCTTTCTATGATATACTCTAAAAAGCCTTCGTTCGATAGTTTGTGAATGATCGACAAGAAACAGACAAAAAACAAAGTACACAATCCCAAATTTATATATTCCATATCTTCTTAATTGTACAGTTCAGTCTACTCACTTGTAAAAGAAAATTTTCAAGTGGTCTGAAACGCGGCTGGAGAAAAACAGCGGTGCCTAGAACTGACCGACATTTAATCTTGTTAGTTCTTAGACAATGCCAAGTGCTTATTTATACTATACGTGAGCCAACAGAAAAGAAGGTGACTACGTCATAAAGAAGGTACGTACTACTAGCAATAGTAGTATTGAAACATCACCCTTTTTAAAGTTTATAAATTTGTGAACGATTATTTTATCCTCTTACATTAATTCAAAGATTGTGATAATTAAACCTTTTTTCGAAGCACACAGCTCGGTTTGGCGTACTACTTTAGGTTTCAAGGCAGAAAACTGAAGTGACCGTTTTAGCTGCACATGGTATGCAGTAGAGCGGCGTATTTTAAGAAACTGTGTATTAACGATCAGTGCTACGTATATTATGTATGCATACATTTCAAAAGTATGCTCAAGTTTTGTATAATGTTTTTTAACACACAAAACCATCGACTTTATACATATAGTGTATTATCGAGCATTATTGCATTATACTCTAGCAGTAACACGTGAATAGAACACTTCCATCTACAAGCTGTTAAAAACCCATTTTTGAATGTAATTAGTAAATTACTGTCATATACAGTGGACCCCCTTTAATGTCAACCCCTTTAATGTCAAACCCCGATACGGTCAATCTTTTTCTGAGAACCTCACATTTTTAGCAGAGATAAATTTCAACTTCTACATAAGGTCAATGTCAACACCTTAGCATCAAGGTCAAACATATACAATCAAAAGAGTTCATTTCGTTGTTGGTTGAAAATATATTGTCAGGGACGACTACGTTGCATACATATTTACATACACTGTGTCGGGGTGCGCTGGTTCTGAATAGTCTACCCCCTTCAACGTCAACCCCCGTTGGCGTCAACACTTTCAGTTATACTTCAGGGTTGACATTAAAGGGGGTCCACTCTACGTGCCGCAAAATCTAATCAAACGCGCTTCCAATGCATAACCCTATGACTCCGATGTGCTTCATATAAAAGCCTTTACGTAAAAACTCGCTACTTTCTCCCCATATTCTCTTCTCCTTTACAATAACCGGTTAGGGATCATTCTGTTGTTTGCAAAAGGAACACACATTTTTGCTCGAGCGATATATCATCTACGCTACGTCAACCAAGAGAGGTGTTGTATGTGCATACCAGCATGTATATAGTGCTCTGCGATACAGTACACACAGTTAGGAGAGTCATACGGTACATTCTCCTTACTAACATTGGGACCAGATTGTCAAGATGACTTTATTAGGAGGCACTGCAAAAGAAAAACGGAAACGAGAAGGGCAAAAGCAGCAAAATGGAAAGAATAATTATAGTGGCGACGATGACATTGAAGAGAGCAAGACGATGGTATCAAAAAAACTACCCATTTTACTCAAGTATCGATCCTCTCCGTTGTTTATTTTGGCCACTGTGAGCTTTTCATTTTTTACAAACGTAAGTACCTATTCTCTCATAAAGATAATAGTAGAACGTCAGCATACAAGTTCTACGTGTCACATGTTTTTTGTTTTACCAAAAAACATTTATATGTGATAGGAGCTGTTATACGGCATGATAACACCAATAAGTAAGAATATTCGATGTCTCTGAACGAATAGGTAGATTACGTATACTGTAAGCCCTATTTTTCATTGTTATGACATTTACCCATCAAGTGCCGTTTATGCTCGACTCAATGCATCAAAGCAACTCTTTAAATACTATGAGTGACATCCAACAACAAGAATATGCTGCAACATATGAAATCAACAGCCACGATGGCGGAAAATCGAGTGACACTGGAATACTCTTGGCGATTTATTATGCAGGCTTTGGAGGAGCATCACCGATATTTAATTTAATCAGTAAGTACTGTAGTATCTGCTACCATAATACGTCATTCCGGCTAGCGCTATATATATATGGAATGATTAACGATACTAACAGCATAGCATACCATTATTGTTGTCAATTGTTATTGTGAATGTGTAATTCTAGATGACCACGTGCTTCGGAATAGAAAGGGTGTCATGCTAATGGGTGTCTGTATCGAAATTATATCCCTTTTCCTGTTCCTGTTTGTCACTGAATTTTGGATGCTTGCTCTGGGACGTCTGTGCCATGGTCTCGGCTCAGGCTGCATTACCACACTCGGATATGTTGTTGTAGCAGATCACTTTCCATCGGAAGTTCTGGGAAAACAGGTATGCATGCACATGTACGGAAGTATATCAATCACACACATCTAGATATCTGCAATTCTCATGACTATTGGTTATGCTTTCATGTAGATGGGGAAAGCATACATGTTTTACAAGGGTGGTGTTGCAGTTGGTGGACCGATAGGAGGTGCGTATAATAAGTAGTAGTGTGCAAATGCTATATGTATATAAAGATGCTGTGACAAAATGGCAGTTAAACTGTATGATTGACTGGTTTTAATTCAAACACTGTTATTTTGCAATTACTACTTGATTTATTGATATAGGTGGTAAGTATATATATACATACATACAAAAACAAAAGGGTATAATCAAGATTTTTGCTAGTAAACGCATCATTCTAAACTCTGTAATAATTCTAAATGTACACATGTAGCTCTGTTTCTCCACTATGGTTTTAAGGCCCCGTTTTATTTCAGTATTTTCTTTGTAGGACTTGAGTTGCTCTTGATATTACTCATAGTAGAACGTCGTAGCAGTCCAAACGATTGGTTTGTTGATAGCTCTGAGAAAGAGATGATCAATACTTCTGCTACTACTGTACCTATAGATGAAGCTTGTGTGCATGCTAAATCGCCACCCCACCTTCAGCATAATATAGATAGGTATGAACAAACGAGCAATCATGAGGTTAATACTATCGCTAATGTTATTGCTAGTAATGGAGATGGAAACAGTACATGCATCCAAAAGCAGGAACCCACTGAACGAGCCTCATCAATAAGGACATCGTTATCATCATCAAAGTCGCAAATTGACGATGACAAGGAAGTCACTATCACAACGATGCGACTTCTGCGTAGTCCCCAAATATGGACGATTATCTTGGTTTCCTTTTGTTCTGGGTGGGCGGTCGTAGTATTTGAGGTACGTGTTGTGGTATATAAATGCTTTAATCCTCTACTCAAGTGCACTTTAAATGGTGTTGTGTAATCTATAATTTGTGTATTATCAATCATTTCTCCCAAAAAGCGAAGCTGATATATAAATGTATAACACGTTTTGCTATATATTTATTATATACAGCCAGTATTACCAATATATTTAAACGAAGAATGGGGGTATAACACAAGCGAGATCGGCTTATTGTTAGTCATTATATTGATACCTACAGTCGTTGGCTCAATTATCTCCGGATATGTGTACGATCGCATTGGTGCCAAAATACTTTCCTTTTCAGCATTGATACTTGGTGGAGCCTGTTTGGCTGTCTCAGGCATTTCGAATCGAGCTACGCCCGGTGGTGTAGTGCCATTGATCACCACAACAGCTGCCAATGAATTCTTTGCTTCCGTGTACAAGGGAGCCACCTTGCCTGAGACATCGCGTGTTGCCAAATCATTAGCTAATGGGAGCGATTGTGCTAGTTCCTATGCTTACGGTCTTTCGAATATTGCGTTTGCATCTGGTATGTATATAATCCAGTTGTATTTTGTGATATGTATCACTGACTGATCGTAAGTAAAATATGCTTTCTTGAATATGTAGGTTGCTTGACGAGTCCTTTATTTGGCGGATATCTGTTTGAATGCACCAACTTCACAATTATGTGCATTACTGCATCGTCGGTTTTGTTCGTGGTCGCTCCCTTTGCCCTCGTATTTCTAGGAAATCATGTTACTGGTTTTTCATATCTTAAAAGGCGGTTATTTCAGTAGCTATTGTCTGCTGTGCACTGTTGCATATCTTGCTTATGATACGATCACATGCACATAAAATTGTTTATTTGTTACTCCAATGATTATATCAAAAGATAACGATACATAACGGGTTGTACAACAGAGTGTTACAAAGTTATTCTTTATTGATTTTTTGCGTTGATGATGGGGAATATAAGTCTCTGTACACTACAATTTTTGTCAAACCTCACGAATACATGAAGGCGTGTTATGTTCACAGTAATCTAGCGTCGGTCAAGTAAAACTGCGGCTCGGTTTGCTAGCTAAAGCTTATACGCCTCGGCCATTCAGCCCGCTAAGGATGTGCATGACGATTATTCAATCTCTCACAACCACCGAGCGACACTATACATCGTTGGTCATTAGATCCATTGCCTCAAAGCAAACTCTTGTCAGTCGACTGGATGTCTTGCTGATGAATGCGCGAATACCTTCGCCTGTTACAATTTACAACTCTTGAAACTGACCGTCCAACGTCTTTATAGTATCCACGGCAGCCAACACAGTATCTATTTCCTTACAGTATTGAAATTGATGGTTTGTAATGACTGTTGTCGGGGCACGATTCAGAAAGTTGTGCATAACGTTCAAAAAACGAGATAAAGCGTGACTACCGTAGGTTCTCTATTAGAACAAGATGATATGAGTGCTATAAGAGGAGCAAAATTGAAGAGTGCATCTGCCACAGCACCAGCATCAGACGCATCAACGTGCTAATAAATCAACGTTCTCCTCTCCTGAATCCATTGCAGTATCAGTGTCTGTATATTGCTGTAAATTTTTGGCAAATTCGAATCTGGGTTTGCTGTAATGACTTGTTATGCTTCAGACACGGTAGTCTCGGAAAATACTCATCCATTGACGCCATATGCTTGTGTGTCAGCGAAAAGATGAGTGAATTTGAATTGCTCGCCCGAGTAAAAGTTAGAAGGTAGCACTCGGATTCCAGTAGTTTGATTTTGTTGCTTTTTGGATGTGGCTCCTTTCATCACTCAGTGCAGGAACCACAGAAACGTGTTAGTTGCAGCCGAAGATTTCGAGATTCGTCGTGACAAACGTGTTGATGGAGTCGCCAACCGAATCGTTACACTCAGTCATAAACAGTCGGCGCAGCTACTGTATCCCGTCAAGTTATTGATGTTTCTTATCTACAATAGCTTTCAACGGCGCCAAACTTGCCAAGTTTTTAGAAGCGCATTGTTTTGTGCTGCTATTGATGAGTCAAAATAATAATGTTGTGCTTAACTTTTATCTATTACATTTCAAGTAAAAGCCATTTCAGTTTACCCCCTTCCCTTCTTTTGTCTTTCAATGATCGCTGGCGGTACTACTATATCAAACTACACCAATATCCGTATCCGGCAAGCCAGTATTCTAAAAGACATCCAGAAATGTGTTGACGTCCATATAATTTTTTTGTGAGCGTCCAAGCCTCGAGTACATATATAAATTACATGGAGCTATACTACTGAGATTCTTCATGCAATCTAACGAAGCCACTTTGAAATTTTTGATTTGCTTGACGCTACTTTTGATATCAACACTAGCGAAAGTATCAAATGTAGGGGATGATGATAAGGGAAACCCGATCGGATATATACGTTAACAGTAGTTTGATCCAAAGATGATAGTAGTGTGGACACACTCAGTCGATTACCAAGTAAGTCTATCACAAGCTCGGTGCAACGGCGTTTGGTCGCAAGTTTGTGCAGGCACTCGAAGCAGCTGCAAAGACGGAGGGGCATCACGCTCTGAAAAAAAACGTCGATATTATGACTCACTAGGCTATGTATTACAAGATCCCACTTATTAAACGCGCGTTCAAAGTCCTCATCAGCAACTATGGAAGAGGGGACTTCTAACAGATGCAATACCTGATATTGTTGTACATACAGTCGACCCCCGTTAACGTCAACCCTCAGGGTACCAGCAAAAGTGTTGACCATATCGAGGGTTGACGACCACCGGGGGTAGAGAATAGGCAAAATCTCTCACTACTAAATTTGAAAGGGTACCAGCGAATCGGTTGACGTTATCGGGGGTTGACGTTATCGGGGTTGACGTTATCGGGGTTGACGTTAACGGGGGTATACTGTATTGCGTTAATTTCAGGTTCGA